ATGGCGTGATGGCGTGCTGCTCTCTGTGTGGTTAACGTCATCTGTCCTGTGATTAACACGTTTTTCTTTGTTGTCTTTTCTGTCTCTGAAGGAAAAAGAGCTTTCATTTTGATTTTGCAGTCAGGTATTGTGTTCGATTGAGTTCCTCACGTAGCTCGTTGATTCATTGCTTCCTGTCCCCTCTGAACCCGCCCACCGCTTCCTGGAGCTCGCCACTTTAACTGTTAAGGTTTCATCTTCCTGCTTTGAACAGAAAGAACGTCTCTGATCAGACGAAAACCTGCTGCCGGACTCACAACAAGAGCACGCAGACCAGACCTGGTCTGAGCTGGGTCTGAGCTGGTCTCTGGTCTGAACTGGTCTCTGGTCTGAGCTGGTCTCTGGTCTGAGCTGGTCTCTGGTCTGAGCTGGGTCTGAGCTGGTCTCTGGTCTAAGTTGGGTTTGAACTGGTCTCTGGTCTGAGCTGGGTCTGAGCTGGTCTGTGGTCTGAACTGGGTCTGAGCTTGTCTCTGGTCTGAGCTGGTCTCTGGTCTGAGCGCTCTAAAGACAGGTTCTCTTGTTGTCTAAATCGTCAATTAAAGAATCTGAACAGATAAAGATGGTTAAGACGTCCTGACAGTCCTGACTGATGACACATCAGAGGTCTGACTGGAGGATGAAACCTTCTGATAAAGTGGCATCAGATCCAATCAGATCTGCTCCTCTTTCCCTCCTTGCTGTCTCCTCTCCATCGTGTGCTTCATGTCTGTCTGTTACAGTTAGAATAGAAAAGCAGAATATCGTCAGCAAAAGGACGAACCATGAACACCATGAAATGTGTGACGACCAACTTTAACATCTTTAAAGGTCCAATCAGTGAGCTGTGTAGAGAGTGAGATGATAAAGGTATCTTACTCTCTGATCATTAAGGAAACATGCTATGTTGAAGTGCTGGCTTCTCTGACAACAATGCAGCAGCCAGTATGTCCTCCTTCTAACTTTAGATTCTGCTCCTGAATGCTCTGGATTTGTTTGGACCAGAGAAGGTAAAAGCTTTTAAGGCGACCCCCCACACGGCCGTTTTGGATGCCCCTCGATTTTTTGCCAGATATGAGAGCAGTTATCAGGTCAACAGGTGTTGCAGCGATGGAAGCGGTCAAGAGAAGTGGTTCAGATAGAAGTGATTGTACCCGACCTAAAAAGCCTCTGCATGTTTCTAATAAGCTCCACGAGCAGAAACGTGCTCAAACTAGGATCAATATTGGAGATGCTTTTGAAAAATGGAGAGAGGTTAGAACACAGAAAGGTTTACAGACCCATGCAGAGCTGGATAAACACTGAAGCTTCAGAGTCCACCACATGGTGACCTGAGTGAGCATCCACTCTAGAGAGGAGGGGGGGAGAGACAGCTCTTTACAGTGTTTAGAATTTAGACTGCAGTACCCATTTTAAACACTAGGGGTCAGAGTTACATACTGCTCCTTTAAAACACTTTAAAAGCACATAGGTGAACAACATGATGTTTGATCCTTTAATAATAAAAACTGTCCTTACACTGTGACCTCCTGCTGACCCCTGCACAGTGCGTGAGTCTCTCCATCTGCTTCTTTATGCTGACACGTTTGAAGGGAGCTTCCATTTTTATTCTTTTTAAACCTGGACTCTATTTTTTCATATTCTGGTGTCAAATTATCAAGAAGGTTACAAAAAGTGGAAGGCTTCATCATGCAGCCATCCAATAGGCTGTAAAGGCTGCAATGTGATCCTGCAGGGGAGTCCGTCTGATCAAAGTCCGTCCAATATAAATGATCTTTGTTTGTTCCTCACAGGCTTAGATTGTTGTTCTCAGTGTGTGACAGGAAGGCTCCCTGCAGAGAGAGAGCTTTAGTTCAAGAGGAAGGCTCTGAGGATAAATGACTGTGTCTGTTTGTGTCGATGGATTCTTTAAAGTCTTTATATGTGATTTTTCACTCTTAAATGTAGAAATCAAGTATCTCCTCTGAAAATAACTCTGTGAGTCATGACTGTCTACAATGGGTGTAACACCCGAGTCCCACTGTCTGTGATGTTTTCAGAGTTTTCAGAGTCCTATCTTCACTTTGTTTACATCGCCCGGACGGCCGGCTGACTCCTCCCCTCGTGTATAAAAGTTGTTTAATTGAGGGACTAGAGAAAAGAAGAATAACATACTGTACTGACTGCTTAACTGTGTTTCTAGATCACGCTCATTTCAGGTAAATTTACATGCAGTGTGAAGATACCAGCATAATAAAGATCGCTAGCATTAGCATGCTAACACAACAATGCAGCGCGAGTTGTTTTGGTTTCATGCTGGAGCTCAAGGGCGACATCTGCTGGATCAAAACATCACATATAAAGAGTTTAAGAGAAATGAGTGGCTAACAGTTTACAGTAACAGCTGTGAAAACAAACTCATCTTGATGTTTATTCTCCTTCATGTTGTCACAGTGTTTTTATAACAATCTGAACCCGTCAGTGAAGAATCATTTCAACACATGGACTTTGATCCGACGGCTCGCTTGTTGTTTTTCCTGTCAGTGTGAATCAGCCTCACGTTTCAACAGCACCGACTGGAGGATTCATCAGGACAGAGTCAGGATTGGATCCCCTCATCTTATCTCATTACGTATTCCTGTTTTTTTTTTTGTTGATTTTTGAACATCCTGCTTCACAGATTGAATCCTGTTGGATTCAGTTTGAAGACGACGCTGCAGCTGAATGCAGAACTGGAACAATTCCAACACTTGTGTCACACTTCCCCCAAATATGTTTAAAAAAATAGAGTCCAGGTTTAAAAAAAAACATAGGAGTTCCTTTATAAAAAAAACCCATAAATCATAAACCTCAGACAGCAGGTGTGTTGAGCATCACAGCGTCACATAGCGGGCAGACATTGGCTCCTCCCCCTCTGGCTCCTCCCCCTCTGATTCCAGCAGAGATGCTTCGTCGTGTTGTGAGAACAGAAAGTGTCCTTTATCTCTCCTCTCTCTCTCCTCCTGTAGTCTCTCTGTCTCCTCCCTGGGGGGGCGATGGCAGGTTTCTTCAAGGCAAGAGCAACAACCTTTCACCTCATGTCATTCATGTTTAGAAACGCGTAGACTTAGAACCATTCCGCCTATTTTTCCGGTGGCTGCTGGAAAATAGCAGCCGGACGGCTTGTAGCGCTGCAGCCCGGCTCCGAGGTAATGCATTGAGCTGGAGAAGTGTTGGATGTAGGTTGGTGCTCTTCCTTCTCCTCCTCGTGTCTCTGTCCTCTGTAGACCTCCTCCTTACCCCCTTCTGGCTTTACATCCTGGATGGCTTGTCTTTGAATCAGCTGATAGTCTGGCATGTTATCTGTTCCTGGAGGTTCAAAGCCCTGCAGCAGCTGCAGCATGTTCTCTTCAGGCTGTGATTACTTTGCATTCTCTCTCTGCAAGATTAAAGAAGACGACAAGATTTCACATGTGATCCATGTGAAATCAGAATCCTGACTAATGATCTGATCCCGTAGTTACTAACAGTAGACTGCAGGACTTGTTCACCTCCTGGTTTGAATCTGAACGCTCTCTCTGCTGCCGCTCCACAGCCCCGATGAGGACTCGTGTCAGAAGTTCATCCCGTTCATCGGGGTAAGTTCTCTTTAGATACACCTAAAGGGGCGGAGCCACACTTTGTAGACCGGGTCGGACTTACTGAGGCACTAAAATAAGAACAGGTCACATGAATGCACATAAACATGTAAATATGCCAGATTGTAGCAACATGCTAATTTGGGGCGGCAGTAGTTCAGTCTGTAGGGACTTGGGTTGGGAACCGGAGGGTCACTGGTTCAAGTCTCGGTGCGGACCAAATATGGAAGTTGGTCTGGTAGCTGGAGAGGTGCCAGATCACCTCCTGAGCACTGCTGAGGTGCCCTTGAGCAAGGCACCAAACCCCCTCCCCACCACCAGCTCAGGAGCACCTGCCGTGGGCCGCTCCGTCACTCTGACATCTCTCCCTTAGTGCATGTTCACAGGATCCTGTTTGTGCATGTGTGTATATATACTTCAGCCTGTGTGTGTGTTCATGACTTACAGAGTGTAAAAACTGAATTTCCCCTTGCGGGATCAATAAAAGTAAATCTTAATCTTAATCTCCATCTGTAGCCCTTTAGCTGGTTGGTTGATCACATGTAAATGTTCATAAAACAACAACAACAACAACAATAACATAAACTGTTCTTCAGTTACAGAGACATTTAAACAAACATAAAATGATGTGATGTTCAAAACAAACCGGGATAAAGTTTGAACTCATGTTAGAATATATTTTCTGTCTGTGCTGAATTCTGCAGATGGTGAAAGTCGGTATTGTGGAGCAAACATCTGCAACGTCAGGTCAGTTTGAGTTTTAAATAATCTGAATGTCACACACACATAAGAGAGCACAGTTCACTGAAGTTAAATTCCTTTTGTGTGTGTAAGCGCACCTGGACAATAAATCTGATTGTGATTCTGACACACGTTGACTGAAATGGCTCTCCTGCGGCTCACATGAATATATTGATGATGGTGATCGTCTGTCGTCCCTCAGGAGACTCTGATGATGCTGCACCTCTGGGCTCCTCGCTGCTCTCCTCCACACCGCCTCAAGTCTCACCTGCACTCAAAGAGGCGTCGCCCACCCCCCCCTCCTCTCCCTCCGTCAACACCAGCTTCTGTGCTTACAGGTATCCTCGTTCTGCCCGACCACCAGCTCATTAAAGGATGTGACACACACACACACACACACACACACACACACACACACACACACAGACACACACACACACACACACACACACACACACACACACACACACACACACACACACACACACACACACACACACACACACAGACACACACAGACACAAAAACACAGAAAGGAGGAGGTTGTTCAATGTGTGAGAAATTAACTCAGATGTTTAACTCAACACCTCCCTCAGGTCTTTACAACCATCATCCAGTTAGCTTAGTTTAGCAACAAAGACTGGAAACGTCTGTTAGCAGCTAGCCTAGCTCGCTCTACGGGTGACAGTGAAAGCGTTTCTGTTGTTGTGTGAAGTTCTGCAGGTCAGGCGGAGCTGATGGGGCTGCAGGTGGACTACTGGGCGGCTCCCACAGAGAGGAAGAAAGACTTTGAGAAACGAGACTCCTCCTCCAAAAACACTCTCAAGTGCAATTTCCGCTCGCTGCAGGTCAGCCGGCTGCCACTAGGGGGCGCAGAGACGAGCTCCCTGCCCACCATGTCCATGACTGTGGTGACCAAAGAGAAGAATAAGAAGGGTGGGCTTCACTTTACTACATGACAGTACAGATGAGGAGTGTATTAAATATCATGAATTAAAGAATCAAATAGTTATCAAAGAGCTGAAAGATTTGTTTTCTGTGTTCCACCAAAAGGTCAAATGTGAATAATCCCTGAAAGAGCAGAAAGCTTGTGATTAACTGTCAGCGTGCGTCTCTGTTTCCCCTCAGTCATGTTCCTGCCAAAAAAGAGCAAAGACAAGGAGGTGGAGTCTAAGAGTCAGGTGATTGAGGGCATCAGCCGGCTCATCTGCACTGCCAAGCACCAGCAGACCATGCTGAGAGGTACGACACATCTTCACAGCGTCCTGTAGAGCAGCAACATCCAGTGTTTAAACATGAAGCTGATGCTGAAGTGTAACATCCTGCAGTTCCTGGAGTGTCCACTAGAGGCTGGCTGCAGAAGCACAGGAAGTCACATACACACCCATTCTAAAAAGCCTGTTTTTACAGCAGAGATGAACATGTTTACAGCCTGGTTCAAAAAACCAAATAGGTGTGATTAGCTCATGTCTGGATGGACACACACTGTACGGGGGGTGAATGTTTTGATGACTCATCAGTGTTGAGTTATTTCCTTCCTCAGTCTGTCTCTATAGCTCTGTTTCCACCAAGCGGCGGGTTCAGGGCTCTTCATTACGATACGCATTTATCGCCATTTCCACCGTCAAAACTTGAGAATGGTAGCAAATTAACTGATCTGTGCAGTCCTACTTTTTTGCTTTCCTTCTGTTGTGGTGCCAAAAGTTCTGATCCGCCCCTAAAGGGTGGAGCTAGACACACTGCAGTCCATTGATTGGCTGAAAGAATTTTCCCGTGTGACAGCGTGAGAAAGGAGAAACTCAAAATGTGGAGTTGGATTTGGAGAGTCATTTCAAGGCTGCTTAAAAATGTGTGTGAATAATGTGAGCGCGTAGCTCCGCCCCCTGGATGACCTCGGAGGTACACATCTGTGTAGGGATCACAAGATCTGTGTTAACATACCAAACTGAACCAAACTGAACCAAACTGAACTAAACTGAACCACACTGAACCAAACGGAACTAAACTGAACCACACTGAGCTAAACTGAGCTAAACTGAACCAAACTGAACCAAACTGAACTAAACTGAACCAAACGGAACCAAACGGAACCAAACTGAACCAAACGGAACCAAACTGAACCAAACTGAACCAAACTGAACTAAACGGAACCAAACTGAACCAAACTGAACTAAACTGAACTAAACTGAACCACACTGAACTAAACTGAGCTAAACTGAACCAAACTGAACTAAACTGAGCTAAACTGAACCAAATGGAACCAAACGGAACCAAACTGAACTAAACGGAACCAAACGGAACCAAAACTGAACCAAAACTGAACTAAACTGAACCACACTGAACTAAACTGAGCTAAACTGAACCAAACTGAACTAAACTGAGCTAAACTGAACCAAACAGAACCAAACGGAACCAAACTGAACTAAACGGAACCAAACGGAACCAAAACTGAACCAAAACTGAACTAAACTGAACCACACTGAACTAAACTGAGCTAAACTGAACCAAACTGAACTAAACTGAACTAAACTGAACCACACTGAACTAAACTGAGCTAAACTGAACCACACTGAACTAAACTGAGCTAAACTGAACCAAACTGAACTAAACTGAGCTAAACTGAACCAAACTGAACTAAACTGAACTAAACGGAACCAAACTGAACCAAACTGAACCAAACTGAACTAAACTGAACCAAACGGAACCAAACTGAACCAAAACTGAACCAAACTGAACCAAAACTGAACCAAACTGAACCAAACTGAGCTAAACTGAACCAAACTGAACTAAACGGAACCAAACGGAACCAAAACTGAACCAAAACTGAACTAAACTGAACCACACTGAACTAAACTGAGCTAAACTGAACCAAACTGAACTAAACTGAGCTAAACTGAACCAAACGGAACCAAACGGAACCAAACTGAACTAAACGGAACCAAAACTGAACCAAAACTGAACTAAACTGAACCACACTGAACTAAACTGAGCTAAACTGAACCAAACTGAACTAAACTGAACTAAACTGAACCACACTGAGCTAAACTGAGCTAAACTGAACCACACTGAACTAAACTGAGCTAAACTGAACCAAACTGAACTAAACTGAGCTAAACTGAACCAAACTGAACTAAACTGAACTAAACGGAACCAAACTGAACCAAACTGAGCTAAACTGAACCAAACTGAACTAAACTGAACTAAACGGAACCAAACTGAACCAAACTGAACCAAACTGAACCAAACTGAACTAAACTGAGCTAAACTGAACCAAACTGAACTAAACTGAACTAAACTGAACCACACTGAGCTAAACTGAGCTAAACTGAACCACACTGAACTAAACTGAGCTAAACTGAACCAAACTGAACTAAACTGAGCTAAACTGAACCAAACTGAACTAAACTGAACTAAACGGAACCAAACTGAACCAAACTGAACCAAACTGAACCAAACTGAACTAAACTGAACTAAACGGAACCAAACTGAACCAAACTGAACCAAACTGAACCAAACTGAACTAAACTGAACCAAACTGAACCAAACTGAACCAAAACTGAACCAAACTGAACCAAAACTGAACCAAACTGAACTAAACTGAGCTAAACTGAGCTAAACTGAACCAAACTGAACCAAACTGAACCAAACGGAACCAAACTGAACCAAAACTGAACCAAACTGAACCAAAACTGAACCAAACTGAACCAAACTGAACTAAACTGAACCACACTGAACTAAACTGAGCTAAACTGAACCAAACTGAACTAAACTGAGCTAAACTGAACCAAACGGAACCAAACGGAACCAAACTGAACTAAACGGAACCAAACGGAACAAAACTGAACCAAAACTGAACTAAACTGAACCACACTGAACTAAACTGAGCTAAACTGAACCAAACTGAACTAAACTGAGCTAAACTGAACCAAACGGAACCAAACGGAACCAAACTGAACCAAACGGAACCAAACGGAACCAAAACTGAACCAAACTGAACTAAACTGAGCTAAACTGAACCAAACTGAACTAAACTGAACCACACTGAACTAAACTGAGCTAAACTGAACCAAACTGAACTAAACTGAACCACACTGAACTAAACTGAGCTAAACTGAACCAAACTGAACTAAACTGAACTAAACGGAACCAAACTGAACCAAACTGAACCAAACTGAACTAAACTGAACCAAACGGAACCAAACTGAACTAAACTGAACCAAAACTGAACCAAACTGAACCAAACTGAACTAAACTGAACCAAACGGAACCAAACTGAACTAAACTGAACCAAACTGAACCAAACTGAACTAAACTGAACTAAACGGAACCAAACTGAACCAAACTGAACCAAAACTGAACCAAACTGAACCAAAACTGAACCAAACTGAACTAAACTGAGCTAAACTGAGCTAAACTGAACCAAACTGAACCAAACTGAACTAAACTGAGCTAAACTGAGCTAAACTGAACCAAACTGAACTAAACTGAGCTAAACTGAGCTAAACTGAACCAAACTGAACCAAACTGAACTAAACTGAGCTAAACTGAACCAAACTGAACTAAACGGAACCAAACGGAACCAAAACTGAACCAAACTGAACCAAACTGAACCAAACTGAACTAAACTGAACCAAACGGAACCAAACTGAACCAAACTGAACCAAACTGAACCAAAACTGAACCAAACTGAACCAAAACTGAACCAAACTGAACTAAACTGAGCTAAACTGAGCTAAACTGAACCAAACTGAACCAAACTGAACTAAACTGAGCTAAACTGAACCACACTGAACTAAACTGAGCTAAACTGAACCAAACTGAACTAAACTGAGCTAAACTGAACCAAACTGAACTAAACTGAACTAAACGGAACCAAACTGAACCAAACTGAACCAAACTGAACTAAACTGAACCAAACGGAACCAAACGGAACCAAAACTGAACCAAACTGAACCAAAACTGAACCAAACTGAACCAAACTGAACCAAACTGAACCAAAACTGAACCAAACTGAACTAAACTGAGCTAAACTGAACCAAACTGAACCAAACTGAACTAAACTGAGCTAAACTGAACCAAGCTGAACCAAACTGAACCAAACGGAACCAAAAGGGTTCTGCTTGGTGGAAACGGCGCTCATGTGTGAGCTCTGTGATTGACTGACGACTTTAACCCCTCGATGCCCCCGCTGTATAGATAATGAAACTTAAACATCAGAGATTGTTTAGTTTGAGGAGTAACTGCAGTGACTGAAGTCTACCTTCTGTTTGAAGTCTTTGTTTTCTTCTTCTGCAGTTCTGATCGACGGCGTCGAGTGGAACGACGTCAAGTTTTTCCAGCTGGCGGCTCAGTGGTCCTCCCACGTCAAACACTTCCCCATCGGGATCTTTGGACACTCCAAAGGGCCGTACTAACAGACTGAGTCACTGAGGACAGCGCCCCCTATCCCCTTGTGCCAACAGCTTTTAAACCCGCGCTGCACACTTCCTCCATTCTGCCATCTTAATTTATCTCCTGCGTTGTCGCATCCGTCCGATTATTTAATCGTTTGCGTGTTTTTTAATTTTTTATTTATGTCAAAACGTCTCGAGGCGAGAATATTTCTTCACTCAGCTTTTTATCCTGCTGATGTTTTATAGACTTTAAAAAAAAAACAAAAACATGAATTATATAATAATTAGAAATGACCTCTAACCTTTAACATCCTGTACAAGCGGCCATCTTTTTATTTAAATTTAACGAGGCACAGCACATTTAATCAAGAATATATATCAGATAAGAGCAGCTGCCTCGTGACGAGGAAACAACGGGATGCTTGTTTTTAAACCCTGAAGAAGACATTTTGGATTCTCTGCTTTAGAGACGGTTGATGATGATGATGATGATGATGATGATGACGATGATGATGACGATGGTGATGATGATGATGACGATGATGATGATGATGATGATGATGACGATGGTAATGATGATGATGATGATGAAGGTGTAAACCCTGAAGAAGAGAGACAGACTGTGGACTCTTTGAGAAGTCTCGTGTGCAATAGACTGAATACTGTGTGAATGATGATTTTGAATATTCACCTGGCACTGATTTTCACCCCTCTCTTCCTAATTTTTCTCCTCCTGGTAAACTGGCTTCAGGGCGAAGAGTTTTCCTCCTCAGTTTGTCATTTAAAGGTCTCATATTTAAAATCCCCTTCCTCATGTTCCTCTAACTCTAACATGTGTCTCTAGTCGTCTACAAACCCCCCAATGATGAGAAAAGTCCATCCTCTCCGTCTTCTGCCTGCTCCACTTTTCAGAAAATGTGTGCTCAAACAGGCCGTTTGGAGATTTTCCCTTCATGACATCACAAAGGGCAGTAGCCCCTCCCCCAGGTGGGTGACACTCCCACAGCTAGGTGTTTGTTCTGCCCTCTGAGTCTGCCTTCTCACCGTAAACAATAGGACATGGAGCGAGAAAGACCGAGACACACAAGTCCTTCCAGAGAGGGGGCGTGGTCAGACACAGCTCATTTACATATTTAAAGGTACATACACAGAAACAGCCTGTTCTGAGCAGGGCTGAAATAGAGGGGTTTATAGACATGATCAAATACAGGATCAGAGTGGATTTAGAACAAGAAACTTCACATACATGTTTTGAAGAGCTCTGAGACCACTGAAGAGGAGGAGGATATGTCACCTTTAATGCAAACCTAAAGTCAAAAACACCCGCTTAGCACAAATTTAACAAATGTCTCGACTGCAATACAGACTTCAATCAATACTACCTTTAAAAAATACTTGTTGTTTTTCTACAGAGTTTTTGAGAAGATCAGTACAACCCTAAACTCTGCACTGTATGTTAAAACTTGCAGCTAGAAGCTGTTGGGTAGCTTAGCTTAGCATAGTGACTGAAAACATGTTAACAGCTCGCTTTGCTCCGTACAAAGAAAACTGAACCCACTTTAAGCACCTCTTTGGTCTGGAAGGTTTTATATTAAATTGTGTTATTAATGAAGCTGTCGGCCTTAAAGTGAACTTCAGTTAGCATCCTGTTGCTAACGCTCTCACTCTGTCGACTTGACAACTCTGAAAAAATGATTTCACAATAGTAAGAGACCTCTGCCTTATTATAAAGGATTGCAGCAACTCATGCCTCCAAAAAGTGATCATTATGTGCTGCTGCTACCTGCTCCGTCTTGAGGTCTGATTCACAAAGCAGTTAGCTCTGATTAGATTGAAGCGCGCACACGCCTAAAAAGTGATGGTGCTCTAGCTTTGTGTCTGAATGTGGAGCTAAGCTAGCTAGCTGACTAGCTAGTCACGCAGAGGTGGAAGTTTTTTCCTGACCTCTTACAGTGCAGTTACCACCAACTCTCAGCGGACGCTCTTTTTGTCACGCTAACTGTGCGTGGCTGTTAGCACCACTGTGTGTTTTGTAAATTAGACAGTCTCTTTTTGACAAAGCTGCACAATCGTCTTGTGAATCAGGCCCTGATGGTTTGTCATGATACATTAAGTTTCATGGATCATGCTAGCAAATGCACAGTTTAGTAAGCTAGCATGCTAACTGAAACACTTGGGTAGTATTTAGCTGAATGAAGCCCTAAAAAAAACCTTCGGACAGAGCAAAGCTAACTGTTTTCCTCTTTGTTTAGTCTTTGAACTAAGCTTAGTTAAGCTGACAGCCTCTGTTGCAGAGGGCTAGTTCAAATGTAACTAAACCAGTATACCAGCGACTCTTAAGGTCATTAATTAACACAGAATAACTGTGTCTGTGTTTCAGCCATCTCTGGTTTTTATGCTAAGCTAAGCTAACATCCTTGGTTGCAGAGAGCTAGCTTGGCTCTGATCAAATGTAACTAAACCAGTCTACCAGCAACTCTTAGGGTCATTAATAAGATCATTAATTAACACAGAATAAATGTGTCACTGTTTAAGCCATCTCTGGTTTTATGCTAAGCTGAGCTAATTAACTGAGGCTGCAATAGGTGTTCTATGTATTAACATATAAGCTTTTTAATGTTTTTTTTTCCTACAATATTTGAGTAAACTCTTCCTCCTCCAGCCTCACACTCCTCCGACACACTCCGACTCAAACGTTACTTTAGCCAAAGGAAAAGTGCTCGCCTGCAGCGGCTCACTCGTGACCTGTGTGGTATTATAGAAGACTTTGTGATGTAGAGGTGAATGTATTGAAGGTACCTTAATGTAAAGCACTTTTTAAATGTTTGTCCATTATAGACGAGTGTGTCATAAACCCACCTGAGAACCTGCAGGTATAAACATGGTTCACAGAGGCACATAGACAGACTCTGGATGTGTTTTTCTACCTGAGCTCAATAAGAACAGCACAATAACAACAACAAGACATCCTCTGTGTGCTCCGTTATCTCTCTTATCGCTCAGCGGGACGCCTCTTTGGACTGCTCAGATTATTATTATTTTGTATTCTGCGAGGTTAGCTCAGATTGTGTTTGTGATGTTAAACTTTTTCCATGTTGCTCGATCTTTTCTTTCACTGTTTAGCATCAAACTAAAAAGTATTTTGCTTGTAACATTTCTTTCAGTAGCATCATAACTTCTGCCAATTTATTGATAAGTGCCTAAATTGCTTAACTTTGACAAATCAACATAAATAATAATATGAATAAGATCCCTGCCTGCCATGGTGCTGATTCTGGTTCCACTAAATATCTCATAACAGAGCGTTGATTTTCTCACGCAGTCAGGCTCAGATCTTATCGAAGTAGTTGTCAAATTTCTAGTCAATAAAAGACCTCGACCGATTAATCAGCCAGCCGATAATATCGGCCGATATCAGCATATCCAGTGACTATCGGTATCAGCCATTTTTTACACGGATATGAACGGATATTACTCGATTTATTCAGCAGTCAAACAGCATTTCATTTGAGTTTCATTGTGTTGCACTAGCAGTTCTCTTTCACCACCATATCGGTGGATATATCGGTATCAGATGTTGTTCTCTCCCTAATATCGGTATCGACCCCTAAAATCCTATATCGGTCAAACAACGATATCTCATTACGCTTCTTATAAGACGCCTGACAAGTCGAGATTAACATCTTATTTAAATATATAAAAGGGTAAAGATAAAGCCTGAACTGCTTAAAGTAACAAGCCAAAAAAAAAATCTGCCAACTAGAGAATCAAGACAGACTTGTGTAATGAGACGTACTCTCCACTTTGGATCATTTTGACTAGAAATCAGACGAATGCACTTTTTAGGATTTGGGTTTCTGCAGTGTGTTTATTACAGGGAGAGATGAAAACATTCTGGCTTTAAAGTAAAGGTCTGAATCATTAAAATATCACTAAAGCTGGTTTGTTTGGAGCGTTTCTTTGTGTCCATGTGTAGAAAATGTGTTTTTTGTTTTGATGTTTTCTCAGAGAAAGGCCTGTTGAACTGAACGTTCCCTAAAGACTACCACTGTAACCCCAAAACTTGGAGTAATAAAACTACTATACACACTAATGATGTCTTTCTTTCCACGTGTGAGCCGTAGATCAGTTTCTCTTTGAGTCAGGGCTGTCATAGTATGAAGAGACAACTGGACCACTACATGAACATGATGCTGAACTCTTGAACTGAACTGTTCAAACTTTTAGATGCTTAAAAAACGATTCAAAAATATGAAAATATTACAAAGTTTATTTTATTGTTTTATTTAAATTGTAAGAGAACTTTTGGAGTGTAACGCAAAGTTTCCGTTATTTAAAGGAGCAGTATGTAACTCTGACCCCTAGTGTTTAAAATGTGTACTGCAGTCTAAATTCTAAACATCATAGAGAGCTGTCTCTCCCCCCTCCTCTCTATAGTGGATGCTCACTCAGGTCACCATGTGGTGGACTCTGAAGCTTCAGTGTTTATCCAGCTCTGCATGGGTCTGTAAACCTTTCTGTGTTCTAACCTCTCTCCATTTTTCAAAAGCATCTCCAATATTGATCCTAATTTGAGCACGTTTCTGCTCGTGGAGCTTATTAGAAACATGCAGAGGCTTTTTAGGTCGGGTATCTGAACATGTGGGCTGTGGGGGAGGTGCCTAATGACAGATCTGTTCATGGGGTTATTATACGGAAGACTATTAGAGCCAGACATGAGAGATAAATGATGAGAGTTGGAAGATTTGTTTTCCATTATGCACTCTGGAAAGAAAGATGAAATGTTGAGAATAAAAAGTCGAAACTAAAAGTTGAAATGTCCAAAATAATGTTGAAATACAATTGTGTAGAGCGCCGGTAGCCTCGTGGTTAGTGTGCGCCCGGTGATCCTCCAAGCTGGCGGCCCGCGTTTGAACCTCTCTCTCTTTTATTTCTGACTCTATCCACTGTCCTATAAAAGTGAAATATATTGATTAGAAAAATTACGACTCGATACGGTAAACCCGATATTTCCGAGGAGCACCTGAAGGCAGCATTAAACCATCAGATGAACAACAATCGAACCTGGGAACTCCGAGCATCCGAGGAGCCCGTGAACGCATGGCCAAACAACGTCGACACCAGCAGCGGGGCTTCCACCATCATGTAGCCCAAAACAGACCCACCAACATCCAGGAACATCCGCCGAGAGCAGCGACACATGTCCGGGGAGCGGAGCTGAGAAACCAGCGCAGACACGGGGAGCTGAGTCGTTC